TTAGTCGAAGTATTATCTAAGCCTTATGTCGGGTATAAGTGTTTTGTTGCTATATGGTAAGTGACTTTGTTTCCCTTTTTAGGCAGTAATATGATTAGACTTGGAAGTCTTATGATTGGTCTGTTGTTCGTTGAGATCTTGGCATGGAGTTGCTACAGTGTGGGTGGTCTGTCTGGGAATCCAACCATTATAGATTTCAGGTCTCAGAAGGTTAAGAAGTGGTTTGCATGGACTGAAGTTTTGGTTGTTATCTTCGAGTTGGCTGTTTTGATATGAGTATTAATAAGAAGCGATTTAGAGGACGAAATTTAATTTAAGTGGGGGAGAGTTGTAACACCCCAGTTTTCAAGTAATTTCAAATCCATCCCTTGACTTTTAATTAAGTCACTTTTGGTCCTTGGATTGGAAGGAAATGGCCATTGGAAGCCCTAGTGGCAAAATGGTAATTTATGAAGCAAGAGTTGTTAGTTGGGCGTACATGTGAGTACGCTAAGCGTACTAGGGCGCGCCTAGTATGTTGGGCGTACGCTGTACATAGGGTGTACATGTGTCTGGGTGAAAACCCTAACCCTTAGGGTTTGTGGAGTAGTTAAGCATCTTATGGACCATTTCTCCCATCTGTTTCCAGCCTCCAAGTTCTTCGGCCATTTTAGCAAAACCCTAACCTCCATAAGTGTGTGTTGTGAGCTAAGAAGTGATCCTTCAATGTTTGAAGAGTAAGAAGTTGCATCAACAAGCTTGGGAGCGTGAGGCAAGGCTTGGATCTGGAGTTTAGGCTCCATTTTCTATCATCCAAAGGTATGGAGTTCATACCTTTATGATTGTTTTGCTAGATCTCTTATTGGGTTATTTTATGCTTCTTTTTGGTCCCAAATGCTCCATTTTGAACACGACATATTCTGGATGATTTGAGTTGTCCTTTCAGATCCTTGGAGGGGTCCTTAATTATAAAAATGAGGTTCCGATGGCTAGAAGTGTCCCATGCATTTGGTAGAAAGGTCTTAATTGATTAAGACCTTGTATTAAGAACTTTTGGACGTCTAAAGTCATAAAGTTGGAGACTTTATGACTTTATTGTGCATTTTGGACCATAGATCTGTAATTTGGGATTAAGTGCTAAGCCATTAAGTACGTATTGGACTTTTAGATCTGCGAGGGTACGCCCCGCCTAGGGAGGAGTACGCACTGCGTACTTGGTCAACCTCCCCATAGTTTGGTCAATGCGAGGTCTCGTGTACGCTGAGCGTACCCTCGGCGTACGCCCCGTGTAAGCGACTGTTTTGGGCTCATTTTCTTTGGACTTCGGGTATTGGGCCATCTATTAGGCTTTGATACTTGGGTCCTTATGGACTATCTGGATAAGTGTTCTTTTGGGCTAAATAGAGGATCAGACCTTGGATAAGATCCAATAAGGAGTTGGGCCCAATTTGGAAAATTGGGACAAGTGTGGGCCTTGAAGTAATTTGAGCCTTTTGGATCAAGATTCAGGTTTGATTTGCATTGGGTTGTGTTGGACCGTATGGGATTTTATGGTTTGGGCTTTTGGCTTGCTGGATCTTCTTGAGTGAAGGCCATGAAAGGAATTAGTACCAATTTAGAAAATTGGCCCATAATCAGACTTAAGGAGTTTATTTTGATGTTGGGCCTTTTTGTCATTAGTCGGGCCTTGGCTTTGGTCCGTGCTTGAGGAAGGGTAAAAAGTTTTTTTTACCTTGAATTGGACTCATAGTTTGAGTCAGTGGCTAGATGTTGATGGATTGTCATTTTGGTAACTGTTAGCACGCGTTTGATGATAGATCTGCATTCGAAGATTGTTCATGGAATTAGGTTCTGATGGGGTGATGTCATGATGCTGGTGGTTCGGGGATATGGTAGCCAGTAGCCATAGCTCGTTTGTGTATTCGGGGGTGCGATGTGAGTTTTCCTCACTGTACATATAGGTCAAAGGCACCAATGCCAACCCTTTGGATTGATATCTTGGTTTATCTTTTGATTGAATGTTAGATTGGTATCCTGGTAGATAGGATGTTGCTATGTTGTTATGATCTGTTAGATCGATATCGTGGTAGATAGGATGTTGCTACGCTTAGTGATCTGTAAGATGTGTCTGTTTGTATGTTGATTGGTTATGTGTTTAATTGCGATATATATATATATATATATATATATGTGTGTGTGTGTGTGTGTGTGTGTGTTGACATGTGTGTGTGTGGTTGGGTTGAGGCGGTCCTGATGTGTCCTAAAGGATAACAGACCTAGGGTGGCCCGGATAGACTGAAGGCCTACGAGGCAGTCCAGTCCGGCCGAAGTCCGTGAACGGTCTGGATATGCTGCAAGCCCTGCAAGGTGGTCCAGTCATGCAAAAGGCTCGGAAGCGGTCCGGATAGACTGTAGGCCCTGTGAGGTGGTCCGGTCATGTAGAAGGCTCGGGAAAGGTCTAGATAGGTTGTAGGCCCGGTGATGTGGTCCAGGTATGCTGAAGGTTCAATATACATGTTATTTGTATATGTTATCTATTGGGTGTTGGTACTTTGGGGGGACTCATTGAGCTTCGTGCATATAATTTTGGTTTATGGTTTCAGGTACTTCAGTGGATCTTGGCAAGGTGAAGGCATGATCGTACACATCCTCGCCCGGATAAACTGAAGGCCTACGAGGCAGTCCAGTCCAGCCGAAGGCCGTGAACGGTCTGGATAGACTGCAAGCCCTACAAGGCGGTCCAGTCATGCAGAAGGCTCGAGAGCGGTCCGAATAGACTGTTGGCCCTGTGAGGCGGTCTAGTCATGTCGAAGGCTCGGGAAAGGTCTAGATAGGTTGTAGGCCCGATGATGTGGTCCAGGTATGCTGAAGGTTCAGTATACATGTTATTTGTATATGTTATCTATTGGGTGTTGGTATTTTGGGGGGGACCCATTAAGCTTCGTGCATATAATTTTGGTTTATGGTTTCAGGTACTTCAGTGGATCATGGCAAGGTGAAGGTGTGATCGTACACATCCTCGCGTTTTGGACTTATGATTTTTTGAAAACTCTAATAATGTGAACGTTTTGCAAATTATGTTAAGAAAGGTTTTTGTTTTAAAATAATAATTTTGAATTAATAGGTTTTGTAAACACTTCTATAGAAAAATGGTTGTTTTGAAAAGTTTAAATTTTAGGAAATTTTATGGATGTTACAAAACTTTTCCTTTTCATGATTTTCGCTTACTCTACATTCTTAGTAGACTTAATATTTCGATAATTTGTTACAAATGGAATTGAAATCCTATAAGAGCTCAACTTTCCATTAAATGAGGAAAACTAAATTACATTAACAAGACGAGGGAATTAAAATCTCATTCGAAAAGAATTGTTGAAGACTCTCTCTCTCTCTCTTCCCCCCCCCCCCCCCCCCCCCCCCAAACCATAGGTGTTTGAATCCTCCTTTGCCAATCCCTTAGTTTGCCAACCACCTTACTTGTTAATCCGGGAGTTATAAAGCAAAGTAAAAATAAGTATAAAGTTAGATGTATAATTATATCATTTTACATTATTAAAATAATATTCATCTGACATGCTGCAAACAAAACAAAATATACGATTGGATTCCAATTTTATTTTCTACAAACCAAATAGACTTAGGCTTCGTATTCTAATTCTAATTTATGATATATTCAAAATCATCGAGTGATTCCGGTTACTTCAAAAACATTTTGCGAACCAAACATCACTTGATAGTAATTTCTTTTTCTTTTTTTAATGTTTACTGTCACAATATTTAATTAATTTGGAGAGAATATACAAGTAACTAAATACGAGATCCATGACCAAGAAAGCTGGTTTAAGTCTATGGCTTAATGAGGACTAATTCGTATCCACTTGAGTAATTAATCAATTATTGGGATGTTTTAAACAACTATATGGAGTTAGAAGTACGGAAATGATCGCGCATCAAATGAGATTGTTTTAATTTGATCCATAAATTAAATTGATGAAAATTTATATAAAATTCAATTTAAGAATGCTTTAGTTTAAAAGCTAATTAAAAATTATCAAAAACGAATCAAGTGATATTGTCACATGTCAAACACATTTGACTTTGTCCATTGTTACCCAATGACTTAAATAAGATGTGTTTGATAAGTATAATAATAAGCCATTTAATATCCAGAACGAATTGAGTTTTAATTACGATATTTAATATCAAAAACGAGTTGAGTTTTAATTACGAGATTTAATATTCTAAAACGAATTGAGTTTTAATTACGATATGGATTTAGTTACTTAGATATTGAGCTTTTATGCTAGCCAGCTAATAGATAATTTGTAGAAGATTTATACTTTATATGAATGTTTTTAAAATAAAACCATATCATAATGTTTATTTTTAAAAAATAATGTATTTACAGTCTTGGAACCATATTTATAGAAGATGAACTAAACACGTGCGATATCGGTATTTTATTGATAAAACTTCTTGCAAGTTGAAATTCATACATATTTAACTTCTTGATTGAAATTCATACATATTTTACGTTTTTCTTTGTTTGATTTATGTTTTTGTAAAATAAAAATGAAATATTGAAATTCTAACTATAAAGTATATCTTGTATTGATCGTTAAAGGTTAAAAATTGTTTTTAGGGAAAATGACACAGATACTGTACGAACTTTCTAGGGTTTATCTTTTTAGTCCTTAAACAATTTTTATAGCCTTATGAGGGATGAAGTTGTGTTTGTTGGGTCATTACATCCTTTTGGCAAAAGTGAAGGGGTCACCCGGTTACATCTTTGACACAATGATATTTGTTGACCAATTTTCTTATATTGACTTTGAATTTTCCCTACTCTTGGACCGATCTCTCTCTCTCTCTCTCTCTATATATATATATATATATATATATATATATATATATATGTATATATATATATATCTTTTGGACTTTGTGAAAGTCAACTTTTCCTTCCCTCCCATTGAATTACTCCCAAGGAACGAAGGGGGAACAAGAGCGGTCAAGGATTGTCACCCTCGACCACCCATTGCCACCGGGAACCACCAAGAGTCGCCGCCAGCACCCACCATTGTGTTCTCTTTGGCTGCCAACACAACGCACACCCACCCATTACCACTGTTGTTGCCGGATACATCTTTCCCGATCTCCCTCTCATCTCCAACTAATCACTCCATCGAGCATAAGCCAAAACGAACCAGTAGGAGTCCGCCGGAGCAAAATTTCAAAGGAGTTATATCAGAACATCTTTCTAAGTCTTACCAAACCAGGACTCATTTTCGCAAGGCAAGCTCGAGACAAACCTTTAGCAAATCCCTAAGCAAGCAAATCAAATTCAATAATCAAAAATTTTGATGCCATTTTTTTGTGCCTAAATTTGAGAGTGGAAAAAAGGAGATTTCAATTTTGAATGTACATGTGTTCTAACGACGTCAACGTAGAAGCCTTCGATGTGACTTTGCCCTATAATCCTCTTCCTGTTAATGAATATAAAACGTGAAATCAATACATCAAAAACGAAGGGGAAACGTGAAGTAAACATTGTAAGTGGAAGCAGAAGCTTACGCATTGATGAAAAATCCGGCATCGGAAAGACATTTCACTTTAGTCGTCGCCGGTAATTGTGATCAGTTTTTATTGCACTGCAATATTGAAGTCAATCCACCAGCTGAACACCCCGCTAAAATGGCCTACAACATGATTTATTTTTTTGTTAATTAATTATAAAGCAGTGGTGATGATGTAGTGGTGGTGTTAATGATGAGAATATATATATATATATATATATATATATATATATATATATATATATATATATATATATATATATAGAGAGAGAGAGAGAGAGAGAGAGATCTCAAGTTTTGTCTATTTGTTCCTTAAACCGGTTAAAACAAGTAAATGAGACTAAATGTACAGGATGCCACAATTTGATTCCCTCGTAAAACCATGAAAAAACTTAAGTGACTAAAATGGTCAACTCTAAAAAGTTCATGGGATATATGTGTCATTTTCCCTTGTTTTTATGAAGTTTATGCTAATTAAGAAAATAAATAATTAAAAACGAAAAGACGATGGGCAAATAAGGGATAATGGTGTTGTTGAATGTTATTTTGTGTAACTTGTAAGCTACCTTTAAAATTATTGGAGGTTGAGATCTTTTAAAAGCGATTATTTCGTTAGTTAATGTAACTTTTATCAATATGAAATTAAAAGATTTTCCATTTTTCCTTAACCTTTATTTCCGCATTTGGTTGAAAGAAAAAAAAATAGTTAATTTTGTATGGTGATATGAAAATATAGACTCATGCATGGTCATAAATAAATTTTGTTCTAGATTTATTTGTTAAAATTGGTTAATCATTAATCCAAGGTAAATAAAAAGGATATAAAATGCAAAATGGCAATTTCACATTCCAACTTTGTGAAAAACAATAATACATTAATTTTACACACCTAAGGTTTTCAACTTTCTATTATTTGTAAGATCTTCCAGATATATTCTTTTATCTTAAATGATATGTAAATTTAAAAATTAACATAAAACAACATCAACAATAATAATAACAGATCTTTGAAAATCTATTAAGATTAGGTAGAGGGAAGATAGATTTCAAGACACCGTCTCTTCAAATTAAATAGAACGATTATGTCACTTGATAGACCTTCCGTATATGCAACCAATACTTATAAAAATACCAATCAGAGGAAAATAAAACACAATTAGCAATAAAATATAAACAAAAAAAGGTGAAATAGAGCATAAAAATTAACATAAAAGCAAATAGTAATTGGTATATGCAACTAATACCTATAAAAATACAATCAGAGGAAAATAAAACACAATTAGCAATAAAATATAAACAAAAGAATATGAAATATAGAGCATAGAAATTAAAATTAAAGCAAATAGTAATTGATATATGCAACCAATACCTATACAAATACAATAAGAGGAAAATGAAAACACAACTAACAATAAAATCTAAACAAAAGAAGGTGAAATATAGAGCATAAAAATTAACATAAAAGCAAATAGTAATTGGTATATGCAACCAATACCTATAAAAATATAATAAGAAAAAAATAAAACACAATTAGAAATAAAATATAAAAAAAAAAAAAAGATGAAATATAGAGCATAAAAATTAAAATTAAAGCAAATAGTAATTGGTATATGCAACCAATACCTACAATTAACAATAAAATATAAACAAAAAAGGTGAAATATAGCAAATAGTAAATGGGGGAGGGGTTGTTTGCTACTTTGCTTGCCGGCAGGACAAGGATAACCCCCACACTTTTTTAGTGCATAAACACGACAAACCATCAAAGAAAGCTTTTTTTTAATTGTTTTAAACGACATATTTTTAATAATATCTAAATACGTACTTCCAATTCGCATTCATTAATTATTATGATAAAAACGTTAACTAGTTTTGAAGGCAAACTATGTAGATCTCGTTTATGGAATTAGAAAATGGTAATTTGTATCATTTAGATGGATAATATGTCCAAACGTTTATTATGTACATGGGATAAAACGCAACACACTAATGATATTTTAGACATTTAGATTTTGAATATTGGACTTCTTTTATTATGAAATATCGTCACCTTTACCATTGTGATGTAGCTTGGACCCAGATTGTAAATATGGGGTGTTGGATTCAAAGTATATTGAAGAACATTTTTTTTATCGAATTCTGAGTAGAAATGAACTCAAAATAACAACGTAACTAACTTCAAACATAATTCTAAGGACCTATCTATATGTATCCTGAATACGATATGTCATAACTAAAATACATTATGTTCATATTTTTTGACCCAAATACATGATAGAAAATTAAGTTAAGTATTGGCAGTGGTTGAATCAAGTAGCATAACGGCGTTGGACATCGTTGGATGCCCAGTCGTCCAACGATAGACGATTTGTCTTGGTTATTTTTTTGAGACTTTTGAACAACACACAAAATCACTTTTATTGGTCTATTCCTATGAGTCTTCTAATAAATAAATTAGCACAATGCATCTCATATCATATTTTAATAAAATAAATATCAAACCAAACAAGATATGATTCAATTTAATCATACATCAAATAAATAACATAAAATAGATATGCGGTACGGTGGTACCCAATATTCTAAAAAAGCGTTAGCTCATAAGAATAAATATAAACCTGATTTTGTACAAACAATTGCTAATTTAAATACACAAGTAATCCTAAATTTGTACAAACGTTGTATAGTTTTCACTATTTCTACATTGTTTTTTTGGTTGATATCCAAAGCCATAATTTGGTTGGTGTTCAACAATCGAATGTGTTTAGATAAGCATAAGTCTAAGTTCAAGTCTATTTGTTGGCTTGATCAATGTTATTCTTCTTTCTACCCATGTACTTTGTATAACCTCTTCCTAGCTTTTCAATGCATTCTTCGTTCAAAAGAACATAACAACTATCATAATTATTATAATCTATATCTTATGCAACTTAAGAAGACTTTTGATGAGTTGTTAAAAACACTACATTTAAATGTCATATGTCATGTCTAATTTGGTGTTATTTGCGAAACAATAGCATCTGGAAGCCATACTTTCTTGACGTGTCAATCGATTGGTAGACTTTTGGGTCAGTTGCGGGTTACGGGTTCTTGTGGCGGTCGTTTTAGCCTATGTATATGTCCTTCAATTTATTGTCTCTTAAAACTCTTTTGTTACTGGTTGGGTTATTCAGTTGTCCAAGTATTAATCTAGGATGTTAGATGATGTTTGTTGTCTATATAAATGACACATGGGGTGTGCCAATTTTAGATATAATTCTTGTGTTAGATATCATTGTTAGAACTGTTGTAGTGTTTGAGATAATTTCATAATATTTGTTGATTAGTGATTTGAATACTAATATCGATGGATTGAAGACGAAGGGATGTATTTTTCTTTTATGGAAGCAAAACGTTTACTTGAAGCCATCTAAATTGAATAGTATTGATATGAAATTAACGGGCAAGAAGGCATCGATCAGTCATGGATTAGTTTTCTCTATTTTGTTTTCACTAATTTATTATGCTATATATATTTTTATTACAAGTTTAGGGGAACCGTATCTCAACCACCATCAAGAAGCCTTTAATTCGCAAGTTTGAAGGATTATTAAAGGAGGAGACTATGTATACTTTTTTGAATTTCTTCTTTTTCTAGTAATCTTGCGCATTTGAAAATGACAGATCACATATTAAATTTTTTTTTTACAAAAACATGTCCATTAAGGCCATGAAATATGACTTCCATTGTGGTGTGAGCTCTTTTTGTTTTGCCACTTATGGATACATTATTTTATGTCATGCTAATGAGTGTGCAATTGGTAAGTAGGCTTTTCTATCGAAAACAAACTTAATCTTATACTTGTGTTGTTTGTCCCAACATTTGTGAATTACTTGGTGTTTGGTTTTGTAGATGTGATTGGTGTAGTAACAGGGTATACCAACTTCATCTTGGGGATGAAGGATGGTCGGTCTACTAAGAGGGTGTTATTTGAATTGCAAGATCTTTAGTAATACACGATTATGTAATTTTGATGGGATATAACTTAGTAGGCGTGCACATACTAATTACTTTTTATGTCCAATATGGATCGTGTTCATTGTACTTTATAAGCTAAACATGCAGAGAAATTTTCATCAAGGATTCGTAATGTTGCTTTTGGTAAACCTGTGGTTGTCATCATTCAACTTTGTAGGATTCAACGATGGCAAGGTAAGTACTTTATATGCAAAACCCACTAGTTTGGTTTTTGAAGTTCTCTCTTTTTTTTATTACTTGGAAATGATATGTGTGCTCATGGTAGTAATAGGTCTAAATGTGGTCAGTAACTGTTTTTTTGGGACAAGGGTAATTTTCAATTCAATTGTTAACGATGTTGTGGGCTTTAGAAAATGGTATAAAACATGCTCACTTATAGAGATAACGACACACATTATAGAGCTACATCATTAACATCTAATTTGTATTTGCAGTGAAATTGTAATCACACAATTTTTTGGGGATTTATCAGAGTTTTCTAAAAATGCAAAATTCTAGACTTCAAAAAACGTTTTACATCACATGATATTATCAGGTTTATAATGAATCATAACCACAATTTAAAGCAATAAAGAAATATCAAATAAAAAACTACATCTAATCTAAGTCCTTGTGCTCCCATCTCCTCTCATACAGCAACTACCACGTAAATCTGCAACACATGAAAGAATCTACAGCATCAGATGATAGGTCTGTTGAGTTATACTTTCATTTGTTCTCATGTATTTGTCATCTACTACTTTTTTCTCTTCTTCCCATATCCTACCATTCTTCTCTCTTCATCACATACTCTTTAACTGTAATCATATTTTCTCATACTAAACTCTTCTATTCTCATCTTTTCATACTCTTCTACTCTATTTTCATCCCATTTTGTCTTACCCACTCTAATTCTCGTCTTATTTCTTTAGTCTTCATACTTTATCAGCATCTCTTCTTAAACTCTTTCTCTATTTTCATCTCATATATTCTCTTTCTCTATAT